CAAGAAGTGGAAAGGGAGCAGGAAATGGCAATGGAGAAGAAAAATGCAGCTTACACCCGGAACCCCTTCTCATTAACCCGTGCGAAAAGACAAGAACCACCCCGTTTATTAACATTTCCAGAAGTGACAGAAGCAGCCACCGTAACTCACAAATAGAAAAGCCATCAAGATACGTGTAACGACACCCGCCGCTTCCCAGTAAAACACCGGTCTATACTTTTGCTCAAATCTGCGCTCGTAACGACATATCACATCATAGTGATCTTTAGGCAAGGGCCAGTCCAGCTCGGGAATCAACTCGACTACGAGGTTTCAATCGTAGCCCTATGCAGAGTTGCCTATCTCGAGACTGGTGGCTGCCGATTCCGCATCAACGGCATTTGCTTTTTTCCCATTTTCAGGGTTCGTTGTGTTGTCATCACGCTTTGCCGGCCCCTTTCCTTCCCCCAGGCGCTCTTCAGCGGCTGCTAATTTGCCCTTTGTTTCTTCCAGTTCTTGTTGTAAGGCTTTGATATAATCAATGGCCATCTCCACAGTGCTAGCCTTGCTGATAGGTTGGTTTCCAGCCTTTTCCTTCTCCTTCTCCTTCTCCTTTTCCTTTTCCCCTCCCTTGGCGTTGCAGATTGCAGCTTCTTTAGCATGCTTTATTTGAACGAATGATGCCGGGATAAGGGTCTCAATCTCTTTGAGCGCATTGTTGATGCGATTTCTCCGTCCCTGTTCTGCGAGTTTATGATTTGTCCGCTTTGAGCTTAGGTTCTCGGCCAAGGTTTCAGGGTAGGAGACGCCAGGCAAAAGAGTGCCATCTAGGATATGCTGATAGTTCGACTTTGACGCAAGGTACAGGGCTGAGGTTTCGCTTGTAATCCCTCCTAGACAACACTGATTAGCTTGAAACACCGCGAAAGGTGCCCAGGAGCAACTCTTCAGTCGATGAAAGACTGCCGGGCGAGGAAGGCGCAGATTGCGTAGAAAGTACTTACCATCACCGCGCACCAATGGTTGTATACTGGGGCTTATCTTGGGACGTAAATTAGGGCTAGGTTGAGACGAGCTGAGACTCTGCCGCTTTCGGCCTAGAGGCCCTAATTTCGGAGTATCAGACTTCTTGGGCACCGGTCCGCTGGGGGAGGGCATGGCCAAAGAACGAGGGCTGGGCGCGATAGAATGGGAAGGTCTGTTGACCACTGGAGCAGACTTGGGCTCCATGGCAGGGGTAGCGCTACCTGGCGTAGTCGTTGAAGAGGTTGAGTCCGCCCGTACTGTGGTGTCAATGCGGTTCACTGGAGGCCTCGAGACTGACCCATATGAGGTAGCTGCTTCTGGAAGGACAACATCTTCCATGATATCGTCATGTGGCTCAGAGGGAGCCGGCCTGGACACAGTTGCCATCGGGCCAGTAGAGGCGTTGCTGTGTGGGGACCGTTGGATGCGCATCAGCAAAGCCGGGGTTGCGGGTTCATTGGCTTGTGACACCTGTGTAGTCTGGGGCGCTATCGCGGGAGACTTGCGGGACGGAGGAAGAGCAGGTGGCGGCATCAGTGGTTCAGATAGAGGCTCTGGAGAGACGGAATCTTGCCCAGAGCTCTCATTACTCCCATAGCGGAGACCACTACCACCAGAGCTGCGCGATTTGCTACTTCCCTGGTCCTGGCTTAGACTATTCAAGACCTCGTCCGAGTTGATGTTCAAAAGTGACTTTTTCCGTGCCTGGGGCCGAACTGAAGGCGATTGTTGCTTTTTAGCGCGAGCGGAGAAGGACTTGGTGTTTGAAGGCTGGCGCCGATGTTTCCGCATCAGACCCGGCGAGGAGGGGGCTGACGACATAGGAAGTGCATTATCGGCTGGGGAGGGCACGAATCCCATTTCAGAGATTTGGCCGGTATGGAAGGGGTAACCAGTGGGATTGGAAGTGTGAGCTTCGAGAGCCGGCGAGGTGAGAGGGGTGAAGTACTCTCCAGGGATGGTGTATTCAGGGAAGCGAAATTGACTTTCCAATGGGGTCATGGCAGGTGAGACCAGGGGGGTGTAAAGGGCCTGCGAAGAGCGGGTGCATGCATTAGATCATGCAGGCTAAACTCCAGATGTTGAAAGGACCATGCTTACCTGTTCGTCATTCATTCGAGTGAACCGCTCGTACATCTCATGACCGTCATCAGTCCGGTGTGAGTGCGTAGCGGCACTTCCTTGGAGCTCGATACTGTTAGGGGTGGGTGGTATCACAGTCTGACCATGAGGAACGTAAGCCTGTGTCGTTGGGTGCGAGTGGTGGGACATCTGGTGTGACTGTTCCTGCATCGGTTGGTGCTGCTGTTGAGGGTGAAAGTACTGGGGCTGCGGGGGCTTGTGCGCGTAGAATGCCGGGGTGACTGGGGCATTCGAGTATGAGGAGGGATGCGGCTGGACCTGCTGCCCGTGGTTGGAGAGGTCGAGGGAGAAATCATTGTTCATGAGGTGGGCGTACGACGGCGACTGGGTGGTAACATTATCGGTATCCATGCGGACCAATTGCTCCTGCGCAGGTGCTGTTGTGGCGGGCATCGACATCGAGGCCGGGTGGGCAAGAGGCCGGGAAGCGTGAGGGTCACTTGGCCCATGCCCCTCCACATCAGGGAACTGCATGCCAAACTCGAGGAAGTTGGAGAATTCATCATCGCCCGGGTTGGTCATATCTGACCAGGCCAGAGGATGCTCTTGTTCCATGACGAGGGATGCCGCCTTCCGGATAGTAACAAAAGATCAAAGCGGAGGAGAAGGGAAGACGAGACGTTGGAGATGACCGATCGGAAGTGGGATTTTAGGGTGCGGGCGATGTGAGGGCCAATCGTGCCGGAGAAAGGGAAGGCAAAGTCAAAAGCAAACCCGGTAGGCTAGGAACGAATGATTTTCGGGACCGCGGCGCGAAAGAGAGGAAGTGAATAATAGGGCGGGAGAGCAAAAAGCTCAACAAGAATTGCTGGGCATGGCGAGAGCGGTGACGATGATAGAGGGAGAAGAGGAGGCGATGGTGGTGATGGTAGGAAATGGTAAGGCTCAAGCCTAGTAGACGTAGTATGTAGTATGAGGAAAGTACGAGGGAGTAAGAGGTAGAGAGAGAGAGAGAGAGAGAGAGAGAGAGAGAGAGAGAAGGGAGAAGCCGAAGGAGAGGGTACCGGCGGTGGTAGAGGGGGCCACGGAAGGAAGACAGAGCACAGGAAGGATACAGAACGAAATCGAGGAACTAGACCCAAGAGAGAAAGTGAAAATCAAGAGATTAATCTTGCCGTAGTCGAGAATTAATTTTTATTTTAAATTGTTGATAATATAGCGAAGCAGCAGAAATGGGTGTACCATTCATTCAAGCCATGGTGGAAGGTTAATTAGCGGACAGAGGGCGGGGGGGCAACAGCGGCGCAGGAGATTCGTAGAGGGTGGACTCTAGTTAGTTCATAGTGAGTAAGTAAGTGAGTTGATTACCGGGGGGAGGGTGGAATAATTGTGGATAATCCTCGGAGTCCCTAAAACGCTAAAGGTTAAGTTCGACGGCTTTTACAGACACAACTCTGGTCCGGAGGTGCCAGTCCGGAGATTGAGGAGACGAGGAGAAAGAGGATCCCAGGCAGTGCAGCTTCGACCGGAGAATTGGAAGGGAAATGAAATGAATGAAGGGACTAGACCAACTTGGGTCGGTCTTGCCTAGGCAGGTAGGTATGGTCGCTCTAGTACCTTGGTATCGTATCACCATAACCAATACATTACTAGTGGAATCTCATCTGTCCAATGGTACTAGAGTTTCTGCTTGTCTTCCATTGGGTATGCAGAGACCATCTTTGCCCGTTTGGGACAAGCCCCGTCACAGAGCCTGAATTGATGAGAATCGGCTGGATTCGATCTAGCGCTTGGACTGCAGCCTGTCTCTGTCTTAGGGTACCTGGCAGTAAAAACGGGAAAAAGGACACACCGAGTTCCAAGGGTGCTGCTTGGTAGACCCAAACCAAGAAATAACCCATGCTTGTTCCTTTGGGTCTTTCAGCTGAAAGGAAAGCCGCCTCGAGGTTCTCGGCTGGTAAACCCAGGTATAGGAGCAAATACTAATGAGCACAGCCCTCCGCACAATTGAAAAGTTATTATACGCACCCACAAACCCCAGAGATATAAATTGTCGGCGTGGGATATTTGCGCACATATCACGGCCGGCCAATAGTCCTCTGGTGCGGACAAGACATTACTATTCATCTAGATTCTAGAGTGGAGCTTCGTGCCGCGGATAGTAACGGTCCGAATCTAGAGAATAGTAGATACTTGGGTTAGTAGTGCTTGTGTGAATATTGACTACTAGCAGTTGTCCTGTGTGGCAGGTTTCCTGCAGCGTGTAGCGAATCCCCTGCTCTTCATCTACACCTCCGTTTTTCTTCGATGCAACAGCACTCGCAGCGATTAGTTTGTGGCGATAACACGAATAAAAACAACAATAGCAGGGACAGATCATGGCCACGGCCCAGAATCTCTGCAGGGGTGGGAATGTGACAAATCAGCTCTCAAGAAGACAGCCTGTCTCCCAACCCTGCTATCCACGATTCCGCGGAGGGCTCCATCCCGGGGAGGCCCCCAACACGAAGAAGTACTTTACTACAGCAAATGGTCTACTACTCTGGTAGTGTGAGTGGGTAACATGACTAGGCCCCACCTAATGGCGACTGAGGCAGGGGTCAGAATGGAGCCCTTCGGAGAGGGTAACTTTAAGCTAAAATAACAGCACGATTTGACTCCTTCAACGAGTGGCTGCTGGGTTGATTCTTCCCTGCCTTTCAACTCTGCTTTTTTTTTTTTTTGTAGTGGTTGGCGTTGCTTACGGCCTAGTATAGTAGTAGTGCAGGTACTAAGTATAATATCCGCCTAGTAAGCAGGTAACAACCAGTTTCTTTCAATTTCAGGAGAATATGGCCTGAGCTCTGCATGTTCATCTATAGCTGAGGAACTTAAGTCAAGGTCATCGCTTCGGCTACGTGAACTGATCGATTATCATGATCTCAAATGCTGAAGAACATGGGAAAGAATGGCCACCCATGCTCGTATGATGACCCTGGTTACTTGAGGTCCATGCAAGCCTTTCGGAAGGCACTGGCATGAAGAGCGCCCCGGATGTTCCCGTCTCGTTTTCTTTTCCTCTTTTTTGTTTGTTACATTGTTCCCCTGCCCCTGCAACACACCAACGCTAAACCACCCTTTTATTCTCTCTCCCGATACAGGCAGGTGTCACGGACGAACCTAGTACCTTCATATACCCCCGAGTGGGTACTCAAGTAGTGAGTGGGTAGATATCTCTTTGATTTAGTTCGCCGTCTCGAGCTGCCGAGGAATGCTCACATTATCACCTACTTTTTACGGAGTCCAGCAACAGGATGAAGCTGGATCGATTCCCAACTGGCCTCCGCGGGCTTATTGCGAACGAAGCTACTAGACATAGCTTCTGCCACCTTAAACACCCTAGTCGGTCAACGGGACTGGATGGAAGCGGGTGGGCGTCCGCGCTGCCGCCTAAGACCACGCAAGTCTGGCCAGTAGTGCGCCGGCTCGATATTACATCGTCGAATCATCAAATCATGGTCTGACATCTTTTGGCGAGGTGTTAGCCATGCTCGGTTCACCTAGCGGTTTCGCAGGGTGGCGTTGAACTAAGTAAGGCTAGGCTAGCCTGCAGCCGAAGCATCTAGTAATCTCTAGGTGCAGATTGGAAGCTAGTGCTAAAATCTTTTGAAACATTTGGCGACGTTAATCTCAGCTAACGAGTTAATTAGTCGTATCTGCTATTTCTCCCCATTAGCTGGGTTGGTGGAAGTACCATACTCGAATTTACTGTCAGTTAAAAACACATGGGCAGGAATCCAATGATGGTGCAACAAAGGGGCTTGAATTGCCTGTTACTGTGTGAACGTCATGGAAGGAATAGTGGAGAGAGGCTACCATGTTCTCCGTAGTGGCATCGAGAAAAAAAAATGAGGGAGGAGAGGGCTGTTTGTTTCTTTCGTGCTACTTAGCTTCGCCCTTAGCTCACTATCAATCAACACGGGCAAGCTAGTGCCATTGAAGGGCGTTTGCTCACGCGATCAACTTGGCGGTGGATGACGTTTAAGTTCTCACAGCTGGTCCAATTTGAAAGTGGGATCAGATCAACCATGACCACGAGGGTATGGAGGCACTTGATCATCGCGATTGGAGGGTGTTGGGAAGGCGAAGCGTCCATTGTTGCTGCCGTGTGCGGGATGTGTACGGAGGATCTATCGATAAAATACCGGCTCCTGCGCACCAAGTGACCCAAGAGGGTCGGCAAACCCGATTCAGGTCATGGCTCGCAAATCCCGACAAACTTGAAATAGCGTTAACCTTTTGGTCATAACCTAAAAGGCGTCCACTAAATATTCAATTAGTGCTCTTATTCCTTGCTACGTTACTAGTTGTTGTTGGTAACAATATCAGCAGGGAACAATGTAGAAATAATTATAATAATAATAATTATTATTATCAAATGCTATTCATTCATTATTCGTACTCGGATAATTGCGACGCCGTTCTTCGGAATGGTTTCCGACAGCCCCGAGGACTAGTTGGACTAAGCTAAGCTACAGTTAACTCTCTCGGCAGTGGACAGAGCGGGTATACACTAAACACAGTTCAAAGTATCTACATCTACATCCTACTATTCTCTCTACCTTTACACTCCAATAATAAAATCATATGCCTACTTAATAGTAACTGTATATAGTAACTTGTAACAACTGTGACTAACCAGATATACCGGCATGCATGGCTTAGCTAATCATGGTGCGGGGTATCCTCAGATGCTCCATCACGTGGCAATCACCCAATGCCTGATGATGACATAAACGCAGATCAAAACCGACCAGGCATCGATCGAACGTCGCTCCTTCACGATGGAATGCGTGTCTTCCTGTTTTCTCAACTACAATCACGGACTGCGTACTATTCGATGTCTGGCCACCGCAAGGTCTCTGTTGAGTTGCCGCTGTAACTTCTGCTTCTTTTCTCCACCATGAGACCTCCAGTGCCAGATGTTGCGCTGCCTCGATCTCGCAAGGCCTCCATCGAGCAGCAGTGGATCGACCCCCGCAGTGCCGCCCCCGCGACCTTCTTTCTGTCCCGCAATCACGGTCTCGACCACGATGATGACCTTTCCTCAGATGAGCCCGATGCCTCCAGGACGAGTATGTATGGCGTACAGAGCCTTGAAGAAAGTATCCTCCAAACTAGTCAACCTGCATCCCTGTCCCAGTCAGACCAGATAGTCGATAGTAATCCCGCCGGAGTGGAACCGATTTCCACAACATCTCAATCTCCCAACCGCGACGATAAGGACGATGACGACCAGGGTTCCGGCCTCAACCGCCGCAGGTCAACGCTCAAGCCCCTTGATACACTTCATTCCAACAGACTGGACGCCTCTATTACCTCCGACCTGATCTCTCCCCGGCCCTTCACCCCCTTGAATCTCAGCAACCCGGACGACCCTTCATCTCTCCCTAGCAGTCCCAAATCTACTTCCAACCAATCTATGCGCCACCTAGATGAAATCTCTATCACAGATGACTTGAGTAGTCAGGCGGTTGCCTCCGGAGACGAAGACAATGATTCTCGATCTGTCCACAACCCAGACCACGATAGCACATCTCAATTCATCATGCCAAGCATCAAGATGCCTAGTCGGAGACCGTTTACATCTCGTGGGAAGTCACTTGGAAGGTTTAAAATACTTGTTGCGGGCGATTCTGGTGAGCCCTTTTATCTTTAATCTTGTAGTGTCTGTGATACTGCAGAGTGCGTGCTGACCGATGCTCCAGGCTCTGGGAAATCATCCCTCATTAGGTCGATCGTCCAGGCTTGCGAAGACATTGTACATGTAGACGACTTCCCACCCACCGATGCCTTGACACCGTCACGGACGTCTCTTATGACAATTCAACTTTCTCAAGCCCATCGACTACCGTTGTCAGCTACATCAGAAATCTACGCCAGTACCAAGCCCTACCCATCTTGGTGGTCAGATTTGGAAGATTCACGCGTGCTGCGCCGCAGGAGAAGTACAGGTGATGTGGTCTTAGAACGGAATATTTGCTTCGTTGATACACCTGCAACCTCGCTGAGTCGCATCGGACAAGTGGATGCCATCATACAGTACATACGTCAACAACTATCCCGCGCAACAACAGCTATTAATTCCTGCGATCACGACTTTCAGAATTTGCTCGCAGGGCAGGGTGGTACCCAAGTTGATGCTGTACTTTATCTCGTTTCTGGTGGTATGTAGTTCGAGCTTTTCGTTAGTCCACTCCCGATGATAATACGAGCTCACCTTCCATCAGATACTTTCGCGGCAGACATGGAATGCATCGACACGCTATGCGAATGGACCAATGTCATTCCTCTAATATCCAAGGCTGATTTGTTGGCTCCTGAGCAGATTTCTGCAATTAAGTCGGGGTTCCACAAGCATACACAAGCCACTCCCGCCAAGCCCTTCCTTTTTGGAAACGCAGGTCTCGGAGCAGATGATTTTGACGGACAATTGCCTTTTGCGGTATCATCGGCAAAAACCAGTGATGACGATGTTATGGATGCCAGTACTTTGATGAGCCCCGACTATGTCCAACCCCTGGTGCCCTCTGAATTGACCTTGCTGGTCCAGAGGTTGTTCGACGCCGAGAATATGACTTGGATGCGGCACTCAGCTGCAAAGAAACTAGCCCAACAGCAACGAGCGCATCTCTGGCAACGCCCAAATCGCCCCCAACCTAGTACACAACCATTCCACCATGGCTCAAGCCGGGGTTCTCCCAGCTACACTATGGCTCGTATAGCAGATCACACGCGACAGGAGGAGAAAATGGCCCGTTTGCAGTTGGCAAAGTGGGCATCTGAGTTGCAGCAAAGCCTTAAAAACGAACGAGAGAGATACGCTGCCATGGCAAGGGGTGAGCGTGCCGTCTGGCTCACAGAACGGTTAGGCGAATGCGTAGTCGACGGGTCTTTGGTCCCCATTACACAAACGCCAGGCTTTTGCGGACTCCGTGCTCCTTTAGAGAAAGCAAGCGGGGGCAGTCTACTTGTTCGAGCACAAAGTGGGCAGAATGTGGAGTATCACCTTGCCCGAATTCGCCCGCAAGACCCTCTGGGACTTGTTTGGTTGTCCGAGGATCTTAAGCGGCGGGGCTGGGCCATTGTTCAGATTGTGGGCTCCTTTGGAGTTGTCGGGGGGCTGGCTCTTTGGCTTGCCAAAGCATGGGGGCTATCCTCGCGCAGTCTGTCTGAATGGCACTTTGACTGGTGCGGATCGACTGATTAAGTGACCCAGCCCTACTTATTAGGATGGGCACTTATACTCGTATCGCCTCACTCTCCTTTTCTACTCTACAATCCCCCATAATCCTTTCCCCAATCATCTACGAGAGCGGCGAGACATAAGTTCCTGAGGCAACAGGCGTCAACTGGATTGACTCGCATGCAAGCAAGCCCCGGCGTTACCACAGACCATTCCCTACTTTCCACCTTTCCCCCCCACTCTCTCTCTTTCATCGTTTCCCCGCCCCATTCAATCCACCCATATTCCTTTCCGGCGCTTTCCCATTGCATACAACTTCCCCTCAAGTCACATTTAATGAAGATATGTGCACAATGTACTCATGAACCACAACACAAGTCACCGGGGAGGCTCCTCGCTTGATCGAATTTCCTTCTGGTAGCTTAAATTCAATCGACTCGTAATATGAACGAAACGGGAAGTTCCTATTTCTTCAAGAATTGCAAAAGTAGACACACACATAACTCTAAGTACTACATACTAGTAAATCTAGCTGGACTAACTTCAATAAGAAAGAAACACTCACAGATTTAATCACTACCAGCAGTAAGTACAATATGCATTTCTACACAGTAAGAATGAAACACAAATGTCTAACCGTCTCGTATCCCTGCTTCAATTAGTATATTGATAGTTACATAGTAGTAGTACTTACTAACTAGTTTAGTAGTAAGTTCATCCTCTCCCATTGTCCCCTTCTCCCCACCCATAGAAGAATAAACCCTTTAAATCCCATATAAAAAGTATAGGATATATCTATATATATCTATATATACACGCGCGCGCGTGTGTGTACCTACCTACCTACCACTCACTGTGTAGCAGTATGACCACTAACTACTAGTTAATTAGTTATCAAAGAATACCACACTACCATCACGAGTACTACTGACTGTTTGATCAATACTGTTCGATATATAATTACTAACCAACCAACTAAATACTAGCAATTTTGGTGAAAGTCGACAGCATCATATTGACGCTGACCTGACCCTGACCCTTGACTGGACTGACGTTTCTCCTGTTTCATGGTGCTGCTCATTTATGCTATAGATAGATAGCTGTAGCGGTCATAAGAGCATCCGTCACCTAGGGATTAATCAATGAAGATGACTAGCCACTATATGTCGTGGTTGTATTGTAAATCGATCGTGTATGTAGGTAGGTAGATATGTAGTGGGAAGGATTACCAGGAAACAATAACTACAATGATAAATACTACTGCTATAGTATACTACGACTGTTTTGAGAGCATCAAGTTGAACAGAGAAAGCTTTTATTCTCGAGATAAATCTACCGTACTAATACCACAAGCGGATCAGACGGAATGTATTTAGGTTGGGGGTAATAAACGCTCAAAACGCCGAAAAAAGGTAGAATTCGTGATTCAGTAATAAAAAAGAAAAAGGATCAAAGGAAAACCATCCTTTGCCGTTCCGATTAATAACGCAATATCGTTCAGTGAATATTAGATTCCTGATGCAAATACCGCTGGAACAGTTTCCGGGTCATCAAAAAAGAATCAGTTACATCTCATTTCCCTTTTGCTCGAAAAGAAGATCGTGACATCATGCGGTCAACATTTAGTCAACCTCCTCCATGGAGCTCTCGGCAGCAGCGGCGGCAGGGGCAGCCTCCTCAGCAGCCTTCTCCTCGGTGGTCTCAGCCTCCTCGTCGATGTTCAGACCGAGGGAGACGAGCTTGTGGATGCGCTCAGCGAAGCTGGCGGGCTCCTCAATGGTGAAACCGGAGACCAGGAGGGAGGTCTCGAAGAGCAGCTGAGTGATGGACTTGACGGTGCGGTCACCCTCGCCATCGGCCTCAACCTTCTTGCGGAGCTCCTTGATGATAGAGGACTTGGGAGAGATCTCGAAAGTCTTCTTGGAGGACATGTAAGAGCTCATGGAGGTGTCACGGAGGGCCTGGGCCTTCATGATACGCTCCATGTTAGCGGACCAACCGAACTGGCCGGTACGGATGGCGCAAGGAGAGCCAACGAGCTTGTGGGAGACAACGACCTTCTCGACCTTGTCGCCGAGGATGTTCTTGAGGCTCTTGGCGAGACCCTCGAACTCCTTCTCCTCCTTCTCGCGCTCGGCCTTCTCCTCCTCGGACTCCTCAAGCTCGAAGTCCTTGGTGATGTCGACCAGCTTCTTGCCGTCGAACTCCTTCAGCTGAGTGAAGGCGTACTCGTCAATGGGGTCAACCAGGAACAGAACCTCGAAGTTCTTCTGCTTGAGGCTGTCGAGGAAGGGAGACTTGGCAACGGCCTTGATGGACTCGCCGGTGATGTAGTAGATCTGCTTCTGGTGCTCGGGCATACGGGTGACGTAGTCGGCAAGGGAAGTAGCCTCATCACCAGACTTGGTGGACTGGTAGCGGAGGAGCTTGGCCAGAGTGGGGCGGTTCTGGGCGTCCTCGTGGATACCGAGCTTGATGTTCTTGCTGAAGGCAGAGTAGAACTTGTCGAACTGCTCGCGGTCTTCAGCGATCTCGGTGAAGAGCTCAAGGGTCTTCTTGACGATGTTCTTCTTGATGACCTTCATGATCTTGTTCTGCTGGAGAGTCTCACGGGACAGGTTGAGAGGAAGGTCCTCAGAGTCGACAACACCCTTGACGAAGCTGAGCCACTCGGGGATGAGGTCAGTGGCGTCATCAGTGATGAAGACACGGCGGACGTAGAGCTTGATGTTGTTCTTGGTCTTCTTGGACTCGAACAGGTCGAAGGGAGCACGCTTGGGGACGTAGAGGATGGCACGGAACTCGAGCTGACCCTCGACGGAGAAGTGCTTGACGGCCAAGTGGTCCTCCCAGTCGTTGGAGAGGGACTTGTAGAAGGCAGCGTACTCCTCCTGGGTGATGTCGGCGGGGTTACGAGTCCAGATGGGCTTGGTCTTGTTAAGCTCCTCCTCCTCGATCTTGCTCTCCTTGACGGTCTTGGTCTTCTTCTCCTTCTTCTCCTCCTCCTCATCGACCTCCTCGATCTTGGGCTTCTTCTCATCACCCTCTTCCTCCTCCTTAGTCTCAGCCTCCTCATCGGGGACCTCCTTCTCGGTCTCCTTCAGGACGTGGAGGTAGATGGGGTAGGAGATGAACTCGGAGTGCTTGCGGACAACCTCCTTGACACGGCTCTCGTTGAGGTAGTCGGTCTGCTCATCCTTCAGGTGGAGGATGATCTTGGTACCACGGCCAAGCTGCTCACCCTCGGTGTCCTGGGTGAGGGTGAAAGTACCACCGGCAGCGGACTCCCAGATGTACTGCTCGTCATCGTTGTGCTTGGAGATGACGGTGACACGGTCGGCCACAAGGTAGGCAGAGTAGAAACCAACACCGAACTGACCGATCATGGAGATATCAGCACCAGCGGAGAGAGCCTCCATGAACTGCTTGGTACCAGAGCGAGCAATGGTACCGAGGTTGTTGATGAGGTCCTAATAAAAAGTCTCCAGTCAGAATTCGCTCTAAACTTGGCACGGCTACTGCTCAATGGCAGAGAAACGAGCGGGAGGTGATGGAGAAACTTACAGCCTTGGTCATACCGATACCGGTATCACGGATGGTGAGGGTCTTGGCCTCAGCGTTGGGGATCAGGTCGATGCGGAGATCCTTGCCCGAGTCGAGCTTGGAGGGATCGGACAGGGACTCATAGCGGATCTTGTCCAGAGCATCGGAGGCGTTGGAGATCAGCTCACGCAGGAAAATCTCCTTGTTGGAGTAGACAGTGTTGATGATGAGGGAGAGGAGCTGAGAGATCTCAGCCTGGAACTCGAAGGTCTCGGCAGACATGTTGGCGGTAGGAGAGAGACTGATTTCTGAAGGAGGGGTAGGATGTCAGTAAAAGGAAGGGAGGAAGAGGAAGCGAGATGACGAGCTCCTCCAGATGATTCTGAAGTGGAGAAGGAGAGAAGTGGGTGAAAACGGAAAGGGAATTGGAAGACTCTTTATATTTGTTGACAAAGAGGGAAGGAAGGCAAGAAAAGGGCAGAAATTTCTAGAAATTCTGTCTTGCCTCCCGCTCTGAGCCAAGTTTGCACGCAAACGATAGTGGCTGAGTCAGAGCTCCAAGGTGGGGGAGACGGAGGGATGGTTTAGTGTAGTAGTATAACTAGTAGTACTGACCTAAAAACGGATTGAAAGGTGGGAGGTAGTTGAGACGGGTTAATGGGAGGAAATTAAGTCACGGATCACAAAATGGGAGGAAAGGAGATGAAGAACTGCCCACGAGGTGACAGAAAGAAAAAAGGGAGATGGAGAGGGAGAGTGAGAGGGAAGAGTGATTAGAGAGTTAGGATGGAGAGGAAGAGAAGAATGAGAAAAAATAGCTGGTGAACCGAAGGGAAAGAGCGACGGGGCGGGACCTTAATGTTCTTTGGGCGGACCGTCACAAAATTTCAGTGCGGCGTTTCTACGGCGATCCAGCAACTTCCACCGATTCCATGCTGCTCCTCCAGCTACTGTCGAACTCTCCCAAGCATCCCCCCCAGGATGTTCCAGCGCCTTCCAGCTGCGGGATCTAGATGCTTCTGCCCAGTGCCCACCACACCTTGCCAGGCACTAACCAGCCCTGTTTCTCCCCTTTGCTCGGCGCCTGCCACCCCCCTACTGGTTGTGGGTTCAGTGGTTATGCTCCATTGAGTAACCTATCTAGTATAGTAGCCCATGGAATTCCCCGATCCGATAGTATGCTTGGGGGAACTTCCCCAGATGTCTTCCTGCTTCTTTTTGCTGGCGATAACTTCCGGGGGGCGATCTGGCTGCCTCAGGCCCACTATCTAGAACGTTCCCCTCCATTCCCCCATTCCCAGCCAATCCCGAGCTGCTATCACTCTGACCGCTTTGCGTGCTTTCAAACTTGGTACTTAGTTACCAATGTTACCACGGCTACCATCGACAGATACATGTGTGTCACTTCAGTTAGTGTTGTTGCCCTGCCAGACATGCCATCTGGAGCTACTCTGTACCCACACAGTAGTTGACCTGAAGAACCTAACTATTCACTACATGAGCCATTGACTCATTCCCCACTGGATCCCCTCCAACCTTGCATGCGGTGTCTACCCTACTTGCGCCAGCTGGGGACCTTGAGCACCCTGTATCACACCCTGATTACAGTCCTTTTACTACATACAAGGCGTCAAGTCATTAGCGAGATTTCTGTGTTTAATTGTTTTCTGTAAATGTCTTCAATCTTTTTTTCTTGTATCCGTTTTGCTCCATTGTGGTTGCACAATTAGCAACAGCATCATCCTGAGCCAACACCGCCCGCTACTACCCACCGCCCCTGTAGCCCTTGAACCCCCCGGGGAGCTAGCCCCAAGGAAAGTACGGCATACAACTGAGAGAGACGTAATAATGAAGAAACATTCCAGCAAAGAAGCCATCCATTTACACTCCTCAAAACATGACGAGGCCGCAAATAAAAAAACAATGAACCAGAAGCCAGGGAAAGAAGTGTAACTAAGCAGGAGCCAGGACTAAGAAGCCAGAGATTGGACTGCGACGGTCGTCAACATGGTGGGAGAGAAGAAGAGAAAAAAAAAGTGATGGGAGGTCAAAAGCCACCAGAGATCAGAGATGAAAGAAATATGGGCATTCAGCTCGCTATGCTAAGAAGATAAGGAGCCATCAAAGAGGTAGAGAAAAATGAAGAGGTCATGGCAACACAAGAAGAGGAAACCAAAGTCATGATGACGACCAAGCAAAGCCCAGTGAGAAGATGATAAGAAAACTTTTCCAACCGCTAATATGCACTGTGACAAGAGGGCCACATAACACATGTCATTATCAAGTAAAGGGGGAGAGTAATACATGTCCTGGATCGCCGTGAGCATCTAAACCCGTATACCGTCTCAAGCCAGGAGGAAGGGCTAGGAATCATATAAGGCTTTGTAAAGGGGGGAAAGAAAAGGAAAGAATGGGATTAGAACGAAGCGGTCAAGGTCCATGAAATGACCACCGCTTACGCTCGCTCGTCGTTCTTCGTTAGACGTCAAGAGGTACTTTTGTTTGTTTGTAAAGGTGCTTAAGCAGCCTGGGCCTGGTTGCGACCCTTGGCGTTGACGTTGCCGCCACGGCCACGGGGGGCAAAGCCTCCGCGACCCTCGCGCTGGAAGCCTCCCCGACCCTGGCTGCCAGCACGGTCACCACGACCACGACCGGCGCCACCGCGGCCCGCACCGTAGCTACCGTTACCGAAAGCATTGGTACGAGGGCGACGTTCCTCCACGTAGATCTGCTCGGATCCAATCTGGTGGGGGTTGGCAGCGACAGCGGCAGCATAGCCAGCGGCATCACCGAATTCGACAAAGGCGCAGTTCTGGACGCAAGGTTAGCTTTTCCTTCTCTGATCTGATGTATGGGTGGGTTAAGAGGTGACATACCTTAGCACGGCTCACATCGAAGTGCTTCAGCTTGCCAAAGCGAGACAGGGTCTGTTTGAGCAAGCTCGCATCAACCTTCTCGGTGACGTTCTTGATGTAAGCGAGAACATTCTCCTCACCCGCACGGGACTGGGTCTTCTTGTGATCATGGCCCGCAGTCTGCCAGCCAGAACCATCAGTCGAGGAAGGCTGGCTGGACGCGGCTTCGGGGCCGGCAGCGGCCGCGGGAGCAGGAGCAGGAGCAGCGGCGGGGGCGGGGGCCGGAGCCGTGGGCTGAGCAGTGCTGGCAGCGGGAGCAGGCTTCACCGGAGCAACGGGAACAGCGGGAACAACAGGGGCCGAGGCACCGGACTTGGAGGCGATGTTGGCCCAAGTCTTAGGGACCGCCCTGGCGGGAGCACTCTCCTTGACCGGAGCAGGAGCTTCCTTCTGCTCGGGCACAGGGGTGGGCTCAGGAGTGGCGGGCTTCTCAGCCTTGGGGGCCTCAGTCTCAACCGGGGCAGCAGCTTCCGGGGCAGCTTCGACAGGGGTTTCCTCAGCTGCGGTTCCATTGGTCTGGGGAGCTTCCTCCTGGGCAGGCTTGGCCTCAGCAGTCTGCTCAGCCTCCTCGAGCTTCTCGTCAACCTTAGCCGCGGCAGGCTCACTGTCTACCTGGGCCTTCTCGGGCTCCGGGACAGTCTCAGCTGCAGGCTGTGCAGGCTCTTCAGCAGCCGGCTCCTCAACCGGGGCAGCAGGGGCAGCAGGAGCAGCTTCTTCTTGCTCAATCTCCTCCTCATCGACAAGGTACCGGAAGATGTCGTTGAGGACATAGTAACCGTTGGGCTGTTCGGCCAGCACGAAAGTCTGCACAAACTTGCGGGAAGGCTCGGACCGGTTCGAAATCTCGCCAATCACAGAGATCAGGATGTTATCGAATGAGGCCTGAGAGTCGACGTTCAAGACACGGACCTTGCAGTCTTGGAAGTCAAGCTGCTTGATCTTGTCATTGATAGCCTATAATGTAACGATGATGTCAGTAAATTAGACCTTGCTGGACAGAAATGAATCCCATGGAGTTGAGATATCACCACGCACCTTCTGGCCCACAGCAACCTGAACGGTTTCAGCTTCGGTGCCGAAAACGAGCTGAGAACGCCGAGAGTAGAAGAGGTGAAGCTTCTCCGGACTGCGGCTCATGTTGGTATAGTACTGCTCCACGAAGTACCAGCCAACCTCATCCTTCGAAATACCATTCTTCTGGTCATTTGCGGGGGCATTCGAGGGAGTAGAGGAGGGCGCAGGCTGGAAGCTGGCCGCGCTGTTGACGTTTGCGGGGGCGTGGGTGAAGGTGTCGGGGTAAGCGTGTTGCGCAGGGTAGCCGCCGTTCATAGGAGCCTGGGTCGTGTCGGCCATTGTGAAATGAATGAAACTTGGAGGCTCGAGAAAAAGAAAGAGAAAAGTCTAAGAGAGAAAGGCCAAGCAAAGGATATGCTGGATAGGATGCGAGGCTTGATGCGACAAGGGAAGGGAAAAAAATCTAGTAAGAAATATTCCCCGATACTGGTATTTGTCAGTGCTTTTGAAGCTTGGACATATATGGCCATGGCACAGAGAGATCCGGGCCACGATTGCAGGTGAAAATGAAGGACTTACAACGTGAAATGTGCGAACAAATTGCTCCCCGAAGGCGCAATGAAGTGAATCAAAAAGAAAAGAAAAGATCAATGAAAGGTAAGAAGGTGGCGCGTCGGAGTCGTCGAGGTTAATAAGAGAAAGAACCTTGTGCGATTCCGGAATTGAGTGTGCGAGGGAAAAGCCCGAGGCAACAGATTCGGGAGGGAAAAAGCACGGGTACGAAGAGAGACGGAGCTTGTTTCAAGAGACAAAGAGGTGGGAGTAGATGAAAAACTGGCTGAGGATGAGAATTGCAAGGAAAGATGAAGAGGAAGATGGAGTGTTTGTGTATATGTGGAGGGTGAGGGGGGTGGTAAGTAGTGTGTGTGTGTGGATGAAGAGTGGTGAGGGAAGTTAAGTTTGGGGGAGTGTGGTAAGTAACAGCTAGTAGTAACAGGGTGGACGGAGAGACACGAGAGGTTGCTGAGAGCAGCAGCGCAGAGAGAGAGAGCCGACTTTGAGGTGAAGGGCCAGTCAAGCCGTTCGTTTTTGCTGGTGCAAAATCCAGCCGAACCCAGAAGTGCCCGGCGCTAGTCCTTTCTGGTACATATCGCGCTTGACCCGAGCTCACCGCCTGCTATTTCTAGCTGATACGATTCACGGGCGCATCTTGTCGATCGACTGGACGACCGCGATCAGTGACAAAGTGTGGCAGCGGTGGTGGCAATATTGGAGCGGAATAAGACCAATTACTTCAATCGATCAGGTTTACAGATGGCAGGACCTTATTTTACATAGAATCATGGGGCTGGCACTCGGTAGTAGTACATAATCTGTAAACGAAATCGCTGTCGGATCTGTGTTGATGACGCAGTGGAACAATGCGGTAGGCCAGTCCATTTGCCATCCATGATATCAGCATGCGGTGGATTCAATCCCCCCCGAACAGACCCGTTCATTGGCGATGATGCTGGACCCTCGACCGATAGCTGTTCTACTACCATTTACGATGCACAGCCCGTAATTCGAAGCACTCTTTCATCGCCATTTTTTCGTAGAATGTATCGGGGTTCGAATTCTTGCTCGTTTCATATTTAAAGGCGTAGACAATACATAGTCTAGAGCTGTGTACAACACAGATCACTGGCAGATCTCGGATTCGTATATTCAATCATCGGCGTGCTCCTTTGTCATATAGCAAACGGAACCGACACAGTACCACACCCCCGAATAAACATCACAGAAATATCCCAGTAATCAAATAAGCAGATGGCTATCAGACAGTAGATTAGGGTTGGTACACGCAGCGAAATCGCATCAAATCAATAGTAGATAGCTGGCTCAGAAGGGGGGTATGATAGACAGGTAAAGATAAGCTTCTCATCAAGACGGGTATCGAACTCGGTCATAGAACCCGCCGCAGGGGAAATCTGGCAAGCCGGGGAAACATGCAACATTAGAACAGCCGTGGCCCAGGTGGCCATGGGGACAGGGAGCAAAAGGTCCAGTAGTAAGGTATCAAAATGCAACTTTCGGTCAACACCACACGACACGTCTGCAACAACTCACGGGGCTTCCACCACCGCTTTTTCGTTCAGCACGGGTTCTCGCATGACAGCGTCCTGGCTGGTCATTCTACGTCCAAGGGCGCGCTCCACCTTGGCACCCAATGCCAACTTGCTCAAGTTATCGGTCTTCTCCGGAGTGGGAACGAAACGTTGCTTCAGAAGGGGCTTGTTCTCCAGGCGCTCCAGCCCATCACGGAGATTGTGGAAATCGGCCAGTCTGGGGTCTCCGGCCGGCAGACCTGCAAAGGTGGTTTCCGACGAGGCGACCGTAGGGGCTTCGCTGACAGTCGAGAACCGCTTGGAGGTACGTGCCTATGATCGAATCAGACGGAAATGCGACGGCGATAAGTGCGTGAATATTGCACTTAGTCCATGTAGACTTACCGACTGGGCCATGATGGGTCTCTCAGATTCAAGCGATGTATGTCTAGCCATGTCCACTATGGTGGTAGGATGCAGTGGGTCGTATATTGCGTGCAGTTCAACGCGTGTGCAGAATAGTGGAACAACAAAGGCTGTGAGGCTTCCGGGAAGACCGTACGTAACCTGTAAGATGGAATTGTACCCCAGTCAGCGAAGCGAGAACTTTAAAAAGAGGTGCTGATATCAAAGGAACAACTGCAGCAGGACCGAGGAGGCACGAAATCCAGACAAGCAGATGGGGAGTCCACAGTCGAGGAAATAAAGGAGGGAATAAAGGGAAGGCAAGGTATCAATAACTAATCGGGAAGTATTTTTCTCTGGGAGAATGATCCCGACGAGTGGTTCAGGACACTTGATTGAGCCGGGATCAGCAGGGCTGGAGAGAAGAGGGGTTCTCACCTTGGGGCAGTCAATTACTTCCAAAGTCTGTAGGCGATCAGTATAGAGCAGATGATATATCTGACGTGGGCAAAATCAAAAGAAGAGGCAGAGGAAGAGTAAGAGTAAGAGCAAGAACGAGGTTGTTGATGAGAGTGTAGGACTGCGCGCAGCCGTGCCATGCATTCAACTCAGGAGAGGCCGGGGGCGAAGGAGGCGGATGGGGTGGGTCACCGGCTGGCGCCAAAACGCAATGCTGATAAAATCTTCTTCCTCGTCGACGGTCGGAAAGGATTGGAGGGGGGGTTGTCGTTTGGACGGCTTTTAAGGTTTTCCTGTCCTGATTCTCTCTACGATCCCCCTCCTTTACCCAGATCTGTATTTATCTTTGTGGTGAAGGGAACTTTGTTGGTTAACTGGCACGAGAGATAGATAGAGTTGATAGTGGTGAGGTACATACTAGTATGGTTACAAGCCCGTTTTCTCATGCTTCTCCAGTAATTTTAGTGTCTAGTGCAGTGGTCGGCAGGGACAAAAAGATGGGTTTGCGACCCATTTGGAGGCCGGCTAAACCATCGCAGGCAGCCTGAGACACCGGACTCTGTTGGGACGTCGGCGGCAGACACGAGCGCCATCACCAAACAGGGATGCTTGCGCGCCCGACGGATTGATCGTCATGCTCTTGAAATTATTCGGAGTAGGAGTATACTTGAGGGATTTGGCGATCGGCTGGCTGAAAGGAGCAGACCAAACGGAGTGGATGCATCATACCATATCAGCTGCCCCTATTCCCAGGTACGTTAGTAAAGAGGTTGTAGTAGTAAAAATCTACTACCAGTTTAGGCCTGCAAACTAAATTAGAGATGCTTGCTTTTTCTTGAGTATTCTGCACACGTTCTTGATTCATTTTTCAGACTGAAAGAATCAAGTCTCTCTTACAATGCCACAGGTGGTACCCTAGCTATATCTATACACCACTAGTTCATAGTTAAAACAGCGGGAATTCCACCACTAGGATTATTGACTTCAATTATTTATGAAAACTAACTACTTATTTGACTGTAACTGTAAGAGTGTTCAGGCCCTTCCCGGCCAGGCCCGCCACGTGCGGGCAAGTGGGCAGCCACGCGGATCCGACGATGGCAGCAGCAGCGCATCTTCATCCACCAAGCGGCCCCCATTTCCTTGGTCCTGAACCCCCAGCAAACCTTCTCTACTCCCTCCACCTACTCCCGGTTCTTCCGTGCAGACTCAATCATTAGTGGTTGGCATACAATATTAACATGTGATGTATGTTTTCTCGTCATGGAATTTCTTTGTTTCGTGTCTTGTCTTGAGTAGTAAGAAAACTAGCTTTTTAGACTGCAAACGATGTAAGACATGCATGATTGATTGATTGCTCCGTCCCGTCTGTCTGAAGGATCTTCAATATGCACGACACCGCTGCCGGATGTTGAAGGGAAAAGGGCGAATATCATTTCTTGTTTGGCCAGACGTACGGGATTTACTTGCAAACTATCACTCTGGCTGACTTGCATTGGAGCGGGAGTGCTTCTCCGACGGTGAATTTCCGTGTAGGGCAGTTAGTAGTCCACTCAGCATGGACTAGACTAAGTAAGTGCTGACCGCTCATAGTATCAGTTGATAAGCCCGTGGCTTTATAGTTCTGATAGCTAGATAGAATCTCATCTTATCTATATGAAATTTAAGGCCACTTAATTTATCTTCAATCTATCAAAAGTACTATATTTATGATCAGACGGCGATATTTACTCCCTACTAATCTCAAAGCGGGCGCTAAGGCGGTATCTCCGTAACGCCGGCATTATGGAGCTACCCCTCGTCTTTCTTATTTTCGAAAAAAACATCGCAGGACGTCATCATATACTTGTTGATTTTGCAGCTTCCCATTTGGTACACATATTCTAGCCTAACATCCACCGTGCTTTATCTTGCTTGCTCCGAGGACTTTATTTATCGGAAAACTCTGGCCGCATTAGAACGTTGACAATGCCCAAGCCAAAGTCTTTCCTCAAGGACACCAAGCCTAATAAGAAGAAGGCGACACAGCGGGTATGCTCAATTGACCCTTCGACCGCGAGTACTACTCTCCCTCTAACTCTACTGCCTAGGCACCAGAAACTGCAGATGAATACCTAGCCCGTGAGTCACCCAGTATCAGAACTGATTTAGATTATCTGGTCAATTGCTTGCCATATATTGTTGTATAGCTGACCAAGAGGTTCCAGTCGGTGTCGAACAGGAAGAGGCCGGAGAGAAATGGCGCGCCGGAGATGCAGCCAAGTCCCTGCGCTTCTTCATGCGCGCCATCAATACCTACGACGAAGGCTTGAGCAAACATCCCACTGCTTTTGACCTGGCATATAACAAGTACGTCATACGCCATCTGAGTTCATTCTTGCTCTACTACTTATTCTGGCCGCGTCCATCAGTAAGTTACCTTAGGTACTGACGTCTGATAGAGCGAGAGTTCAATATGAAATCACACAACATCCCAGGCTAGCTGCTCAGCTGTCTGCGCCGCTATTGGATGTACTGCGAGTAGCGCTTGATTCTCACAGAGCAGCGCTTGGCCTGGAGCAAGACAATGCAGATGCGCTCTTCAACACAGCCCAAGTACTCACCAGCATTGCCGAGGCCTTGACCGAAGCCAAACGTCCATCGGATGACCGGCTCTCTCAGGCAGTGAAGCTCTTGCAAGAAGCCATAGAACTCTTCCAACGTTGCCTAACTGTACAGGAACTCAAGTACACCGAAATGCAGGAGCAGATCAACCAGATGACGTCCGGCGAAACAGACCCTGCTGAAACACAGATGCAAGATACACCGCCAGAACTGCCACCTGCGGACGATTCGAAGTCTTCAGATCAGCAAGAACAATGGGCTGCGATTGTTGAGCCCGTGACCAAGGACACACTCGTCGACACTGCTGTGGCACAGCTAGATGCCATCACAAGCCTCTGTAACCTACTCACGTTCAACCCGGAAGTAGGAGTCACTTGGGTAGAAGAGTATTCATCCGAGCAGCTGCAGAAACGAATCTCAGCATATGTCGAGGGGTCAAACAGGCACTACGAGGCCACTCTGGCTCGTGCCAAGTTCGCCTGCGCCCTGAATGAAGTTCTGTACAGAAGCGGACGGACTGAAGTTGGGACATACTCTGAAGAAGTCTCACGAGCTTTCAGTCCCGATCTAGATCTATCCAACGACCCGGATGGCCTGTGCAGCAAAGCCGATGCGCTCACTTCTTTCAACACGGCGCTCACAGATCTCCCTCCGTATGAGCCGGAGGCCTTTGCGAAAGCGCTGTCCCTTCGATGGCAATCACTGTCCGCTGCCTTGGACGCACTGAGTAAAGCGTCCAAACTCCCCACTGCTGAAAACTTGCCAAAGATTCATCTGGCAAGGGGAGACGTGGAGATGGGTAGGTGGAGGCTTGGCTTGGCTCCATGGGACTATAGCATGGCCCGAGATAACGCAGCTACACTGCTGCGCAACGCCCAGACTTATTACCGCGGTGCAGCAGCCTTGGCAAAGAGGGACGGTGCTGCGGACGAGGAACGAGACGGAACCTGCAAGGAGGCCATCGCTGCTGCACTGGCAGGCCAAAAGGACAAACTCCAGCAGCTCCGCAAAGCTGCGCCCAAGGAGCTGATGCTCGTTGCGGAGGATGTGGTCGAGGAGGGATGGATGGGTCCCGGCGATATGGAGATATTGTTGTCGTAGTTATACTATACCCCGGCCCATTCGAATATTGAAAGGGAGGCCTGTCCCCGCCATCGTAAAAATCGCAAGCCACCAGATCAGATCTCAGGTCTAGCCTTAACCTCTCCATCCATCTGCGCAGCTTCTTGTCGAAGCTGATGCTCACTCGTAAACTGCGTCGTCGCGGCCGCAGCACCCTCCAAATCAGCAACCACAGCCTCCAACCCGGACAACAAACTCTCAATTTCAGACCTCTGCGCCTGGACCTTCCCAGCCAACTCAGCATTCTGATTCTGCACCGAATTAATCTTGGCATCCAAATCCGCCTGCGTCTCCATCAAATGCGGCAACAGATGCGCTTTGTACAATTCCTCCGGACTCAACGTATGCGGCCTACCAAGCACAAATCATCCCAGTTAGCCATCCATCACCCAATCCCAACGAAACTATCAACAACATAACTTTCAAGAAAGGGGGGGTAAAAAACATACGCAACACTATCCCCACCAACCCCTCTCTCCTTCCTAACCCTCGCCTCGCCCACCAACCGATCCAACTCATTTAACTGCCTAACAGCATCCCTCTCGGCCAAAATATCCTCGAACTCAGCCTTAGCGCTCTCCTCTAACTTCGCATTCAACTGTCTCCATACACTCTCCAAACTAGCCGGGACATGTTTCGCCGGCGTCGGAAAACACCCGCTGAAATTCGCGTACGAGTTTGCGCGCAGCGTGCGCGCCAGCGCCTTGTCGAAGATCTCTTGGAGTTTGGAGGCGCGCGGGCCGGGTGTTAGGGGGACTGGCGCGGGAGGGGGTGGTGAGGGCGAGGCGCCTGGTCTTTGGGTGGTGGGTTCGGTGGACATGGTTTGGTTTATATCGTTCGATTCGTCGGTTGGGTTGGGCGGGGTTGAGGTAGGTAGGTAGGTACTTGGGGTGTTTGATCGGGGAATGCAGTGTTTTGTGATGTTAAGCCTTGGCGTAATGTTTTGTTTCGGGCTCCTTGGGGTCGTTGTTGTTGTTTTGTGGTTGTAGGATTAAGTATGGAGATTGGTTGATTGATTGATGGGGATTGGGGAGACGCGCCGGGAGACGCGCGACTCCTATGTATCACGTGATTAGTATAGATCTGGGTACCTATTAGTATCGCAGGGTTAGGTTACTATTTGGTAAACTTGGTAGGCTTCTTTATGTTGGTGCTTGATTTATATCCAATGAGAGTATCGTGGTCTTTTAGTATGTTGCGTTTGCGCTGGACGTATGAAGAGCTGAAATCAGCCACTGTATATGTTTTAGGGCTCTATAGGAAACTAGTTAATAAAGGCTTGCGAGAAACAAACCATGTCTGCATCAAATTTCTGTGATATTTGCTGCTGCCCCTACGAATATTAATCACTAGGATAGGCAAGGTAATTGGTGAGCGAACGTTAAGTATCATGATCAAAGTTATCTACGAAATGCCATCGGCCATATGCACCGCAAAGAAAAAGAAAACATAAAGAATCATTTGAATGTCCTCTTAGGAGTCAAACGCCGCGCTCTCCCCATTCTAAAACCGAACCCGTTGCTCGTCAAGCCTTCCATGAAGGGGGCAGATGAACGAAAGCCAAGGTAAACGAAAGGCTGTACATGATGAAAACGAACTAGAAGGAAACAAAGACGGATCAAAGGAAGAATCTCAGTATGCTTGCTGTTGGGGAACCATGCCACCATAAGCCCCAGCCATTTGTTGTTGCTGCTGCTGTTGCTGCAACTGGGCCTGCAATTGCGGAAGATCGCGGAACCAGGGGTGTACCAGGGCGTCTTGGGCACTGATCCGCATCTCTGGTCGTAGCTGCAGCATCCGGCTCAAAAGATCCAGACCTAGAGGGTCGATTTGGGGAAGAATGAGACTGAGGTCCTGCGTGGCATAGACGTGGAAGTTTGGCTTGTACTCCGGGAGCTGGGAGATGCCGGGCCATGAGCGTTCCGAAGGGGTACCCATGAGACGGAAGATCTTAATAAGCTGGTCTTCGTTGGTGGTGCCGGGGAACAGAGGACGGCCGGTGTAGAGTTCCGCCATGATACATCCAGCAGACCAGATGTCGATGCTCGTGTTATATGTGCGGCTGCCCAGAAGTACATCCGGGGCACGGTACCACAAGGTCACGACTTCGTTGGAGAAAGTGTTGACGGGAATGCCAAAGGCGCGGGCGAGACCGAAATCTCCAAGTTTGAGTTGTCCCTTTTTATTGATCAGGAGATTTTGAGGCTTCAGATCACGGTGGAGGACGCGGTTCTCGTGGCAAAACGCAATGCCCTTGAGAAGCTGGTGCATAAAAGATTTGATTGTGGCTTGGTCCAATTGGCCGCGGTCGGCGCGGGTATCCATATACTTCTTCAGATCCTTGTCCATGTACTCAAAGACGAGCATGAGTTTGTTCTCCGTGTGGATCACATCATAGAGCGAGACGATGCTTTCGTGCTTCAGCTCCTTCATCAACGAAATCTCTCGGATGGCGGTGGATGGTGTTCCCTCTTCGGAATCGAGGTGGATCTCTTTCAGGGCAACCAGCTCACCGGTTTGGCGGTTGCGTCCTTTGAAGACCTGTGTGAGTGTCAGTACATCGTGCGATTTAGAGGATCGGCCGTGCGGAGGGAGGGGTTCGTACAGTGGCATAGGTGCCTTCTCCGAGCTAGAATCAGCAGTTAGCATCACGACTTTCTGTCGGACTGGGTAATCTCCCAGTCTATGGTAGGGAGGTTATCAAAACACACCTTTTCCAGCTGCTGGAAGGAGCTGGGCTGCTGCTTGTCCATGGTGGTTGATGGCGCGACGGTGGTACTCTGCGCAGCAGGAGTTGGATGCGAACGAGAGGTGGAGCGCGGAGGATGGAAGAGAAAAGTTTTGGGAGAGGCCAAATTAGAGATGAGATCCAGATATTCGGAGGTTGGAGGTTGCAATGTCTTGCTTTTTGAGCGGTCGCGACCGTCCATGTCCATGCTGATCTGAACCGGCGAATGCAGAGCCCCGCGCTGGCATCGAACAGCGGACGGGCGGCTGACTGGCCCGCCATCACTTTCTCCTCTCCTCAGTCTTGCCTGCCTAGTCTCCACTACTAGTATCCCGGCGTCTATTTCATGCCTGTCCCCAACTCGCCGTTGCCAATCAATTTGGCGTGTCTATAATTATCTTTTCTAGACTATTCCACCTGATGAATACTGCTATCTTGAAATAGTAACGTCTCTAATGACGCAAGCTTGGATTCTGACTTTTATCGCTTGTAGATACTATACTATGTTCTTTATCGGAACGGGTCACACAGCTCACCGTCATCTATACATCACATCCTCTTCAATCTATACAAGGACACTAATGACGAGTAAGTGAAGGCAGTTGTGCTGCCACAGGGCCTAGAATGTCCTGGGATGGGAGACTGCAACGGACATGCCGGCATACAGCCTCCGTTTCTTGTTCCGCCTTGCTAAAGAGGATCGACTCATTCCGGACACCTCCTATGTTGATGATGCCAATCGGCATCCCTCGCTTATAGGCCCTTTCCACTAGGCGCCATGCCGAGTATGTGGCAAGACTACTGCCCAAGACAAGGAGTCTGCCCGCATCGTCGATGGCCTCTTCTGCACCCACCTTGACGGCTGGGTCGATATTCTCTCCAAACATAATGACCGCCGGCTTCAAAATCCCCGCTGTAGAACTTGGAAGCCAAGCCCCATCGCGCTCTACCTCCACCCGGGATTGCGACCCGTCCTGCAGCCGGGGTGGCTTTTCTAAACAGGTTGGACATGCTGGATACCGAAAGGTCGAGTAAGGGGCTTCCGGTAAATCTACATCGCCATCCGGGTTGATTTTCAAGCCCCTCCGTCTCTGCTCCTCAGGGTTGTCCGCGTTCAGTGCACCAATATCGACCATTTTCTTGAGGAACTCTGCCCAGGCGGGGTTCAGCCTCTCGAGCGATTGCTGAAACTCGTCCCGTGGAACCTCAGTTCGACAATTGATGCAGACCGCAGAACGTAAGTAGCCGTGGAGTTCGAGAGTGGGTAGCTCTGGATGTGCGACAGGATGGAAGGAGTCGACATTTTGGGTCACCACTGAACTAATATAGCCTTTCGTACCGATGTCTTTTATAGCCCAGTGCGTCGAATTTGGCTTCGCCTTCAGGAGTCCCGGCCACCCAATGAAGCTTCGCGCCCAGTATCGCTTGCGAAACTCATGGCGAGCGACGAACTCGTGATAGTAGATCGGTCGGTACGTCTTGTTTGTGATATACGTGCCATTCTCACCGCGATAGTCGGATAAGCCTGAAGCTACCGAGATGCCAGCGCCTGTCAAGAGCACCGTCTGGGAATGCCTGCCTACATCAACGCCGCGCAGATGCGGCGACGGAGGGGCCGTCAGAAAGGTCAAGAGCGCATCAATGGCACCTGCGACCGTGCGTGCGGACGGAGGGACAATAATCGGCGGAGGTAGAGGGCCCGTAAAGGGAATCCGAATAGCTGGAGCAGTCATTGAAGCCACATGATTAAGAGATGTTGAAGCTGCAAGAGAATTGGTTCAGATGGGCGATGGTTGATGACCGACGTCACGGCTTGACTAATCAATCACATGACATACGCAGTCCCATGGGGGATGAAATGAACGGTGTGTCTACGCGGGGGAAGAATTACTGATTGAATGGCACTAGATGATCAGAAGACCAGAATAGATGATGCAGGATATTGCGGTCGAGACAAGGAACAAAGCGTCACCAGGAAGAAGAAAAGTGGAAGCAGTCGATCTGGGTGTCCATTCTTGGTCTAGACTGAGAGGAGCTACCCCGGATCGCCCCACGTGATCTGCACCTTCGCAGACTCTGCGAACGTCATCGCGGCCATCTGCTTCATTCCATCAACGCGTCTTTGTTTGCTGTCGACCGATTTTGCTTGCCTCTTTCTGTTTAGACTATAGAGTAGAGCATTGATTGGGGAAACGCCCAATCGCTCTCTCGTTTGCACAGTCCGGACATGTTTCCCGCAGTCACCGGCAATATAGATCTAGAGGCACTGAGTGGCATATGTGGGTATGTTTATGCCATACTAGAGGAGAATTGGATGTTTTTATACTGATCACCGACATAGATCCATCTCGATTGCGTGCTGGGTTGTTGTCTTCTCCCCACAGATCATCGAAAATTTCCGTCGCGGCTCAGCTGATGGCCTGTCGCTTCTTTTCCTCATCGTCTGGCTTGCCGGCGATGTGTTCAACATCCTGGGCGCCGTCCTGCAGGGCGTGCTGCCAACCATGATCATTCTCGCAGTGTACTACACCCTAGCCGATGTGGTGCTCCTAGCTCAATGTTTCTACTACCGGGGATTTACCCTGCGCGACGAGCCATCCACGCCGGCGCGGCCTGCATCTCCCATCACGACAGATGCCTACGACGAGGACACGGAGATTCCATCTCCTGTCGTGCCTCGCAAACCCACAGAGCACACCGCGTTGCTTTCTTCCAAACGACGCAGTGCCTCTTACCAGGCTCCTCAGGACACTCGCAGCCCAGCATCATCGGCAACAATCACCCCTCACCATCAACCCTTGCTCGCCCATCGCCGTCACTCCGCCTCTTCATTCCTTCACACGACCGTCGACGGAACTCACCTCTCCCCAGCGACTCCACTCGTCGAACCAGCCAAACAACCCCGTCCCCCTCGAACTCTGACCATGCTCCAAGCCACCTTCTTCAACGGCTCGGCCATCATTCTCGTCTGTGCCGCCGGCATCCTAGGCTGGTACATCAGTCAACAGTCATCACTTTCCTCAGACAACAACAACAACAAGCACAAGGACAGCACCGACGACCTGAAAATGGACACCCTAGGCCAAGTCTTCGGCTACCTCTGCGCAGTGCTATACCTCGGATCCCGTCTGCCCCAGATCCTCCTCAACTACCGCCGCAAGTCAACAGACGGGGTATCCTTACTCTTCTTCCTCTTCGCCTGTATCGGCAATCTAACCTATGTACTTTCCATCCTGGCGTATTCACCTGTGTGTCAACGCAGACACCATGGTCGGTGTCGATCTGATGAACTGGCCTCGCTGTATGGTCGATATATTCTGGTGAATCTGTCTTGGCTGATTGGAAGCTTTGGCACATTATTGTTGGATATGTGTATCTTTATTCAATTCTTCTTGTATCAGGATGGAAATGGAGGTGAGGTGGATGCAGAGGCGAGATGAAATATACCTGCGTTTGCTTATAAGATCTCTTCTTCTTCTTCTTCTCCTTTTTTCATTCTTGATTATGTCTCTGGGAAGACATAAAGAAAGATGGATTGGTGTTGGTGTTGGTGGTAGGGGATGATTGATTGATTCATTGATTGAATTATCATAAAAGCGCTTGCTTGCGTGCTATATGGCCAGGTTGCTATGCTATGCTACTCTTGCTGCTTTTGCTTGCTCACCAATTGGCGTTTGATTGTGATGGGTGTTATTCGTGTATATAGTATTATCTCATACTATACTTGCTTCTACTGACGCATACTTCGCAACACTCTACGTATCTGTTTACCAAGTAAATATCACCACATTCTCAGTCTCAAACAGATTACCATTACACAAGCAAAGCAGAGCTAAGCTAAGCAACTAGCAAGACAAGAAAACAAAGAGATAAGAAATCAAACTTCCAAACCATAAACACCACCCACATGCACCCACAACATGGATAGTAAGTAGACCCATGAAAACAAACTCCACGCTTGCAATTCGCATCCCCATTCCTCTCCCACATTTCTTCCCCCACTCCATCCCCCCAGAAGAGAAAGGAAGATGAAAAGAGAAAAGTCTACTCACTAGGCGGCCTAACCTTAACCGGTCCCTGACCAACCTCATCCCAATTCGTACTCAACGAAGTCCCCTGACTCTCCACATAACTCTTCACCATCGCACGACGAGTATCCGGGTCCGCATTAGCATAGAGTTTCTTGAAGAACCCATCGACGGCATCGCCACCTCCGAAGTCCGAGTTGATGGATTCGGCGTCGGATGCTTCATCTTCTCCATCATCTTCTTCTCCTTCTCCTTGACTATCCTTTGGCTTCGAGCTGGACTTATTATCCTTCTTGGTCTTCGACTTCTGGGTTAGGCTTGAAGCGAGCTTATCCCAGTCTTTGGCACCGTGGCGGGAGGAGGTAGGGTATGCTGGGCCCTGGGCTTGTGGTTTGATTTGTGTGGTGGCAGTGGTGATAGGTGTAATTGTGGGTTGGGGAGTAATTCCGCTGGACGATTCCAGGGCGCTCCATTTCTGGCCTGGGGATTTCTTGCGCAGGGAGATTTCGATCTTGGTGGAGAAGACGGAGACCTTGGAGGTGGAGGGGTCGATGGGGGCGAAGAGCGGGTCGAGGGTGAAGTCGTATTCGGCGCCGGAGGGGAGGGGGAATTGGAGGGATGTCTTGAAGTATAATTAGTATGTTGTTGTATGATAGATCAAGAAGGGAAGGGTTGGGGGATACATACCGAGTCCTCTTTCAGCTCAATAGCCACTTTATCCTTAGGCACGCCTTTCACGTACAACGTCACGACGACCGCCTCTCCGGACTGGTACCATTCATGACGGACCTTGACCTGCTGCTGTTGTTGCTGTTGCTGTTGAGCTTCCTTAACCTCAGCTTTCTCCTCCTCTTCCTCCTTCTCAGCCTTCACACTATCCTTCTGACCCTCGTTCTCACCATTACCACCCCCAACCGTACTCTTACTCTTACTCTTACCCCCCCTCAACTCCTCCAACTGCGCCCTCAACTCCTTCTCCCCAGGCACCTTAACCCCCACCGGAACCTCCTCCACCTTATCTCCATCCCCATTCCCCTCCAATCCCCTAACCTTCGCCCTAATCTTCGCCCCCCAAATCCTCACCTCCGCCTCAACACCCTTCCCAGCACCACCAGCAGATGCACCCCCCATCGCCCTCATCACCTTCTCCTCCTTATCCCCCTTATCCCCCTCCTTATCCAACCCCACCATCCGCTCCACAACCCCCACCACGCCCTCCGCAGCAACATACCTCCCCATGAGAAACAACACGATAGCTCTGCGCATCTGCGCCTCGACAATCAACTCGCGTTTACCCCGCTCACGGGCAAGCAGAACAGCGGACTCGGCATCGCGGAGCGCGGCGGGGAGGTTCGGCGTCGGCTTTAGACGTGAGAAGGCGGTCGAGCGCTTGATGAAGTAGCTGGGCGATCGGGGGTGTGAGAGCAGCGCGGTGGTGTAGTGCAGGGTTGCGGTGGATGGGTCCGAGGATTGGAGCGCGGTGTCGCCGAGAGAGGCGGCGTTCATTTTGGATGAAGGTTTATGTGGTGTTGGTGTTGGTGTTTGGTGGGTGGGTGTGTGGTTATGTAGGAGCTGGATATGGGATGTGGAAAGTGAGGTTTGTTGTTTGTAAGGGAATATCCCAACAGAAAGAAGAAATTAGTGAATGTGAAGTGGCAGAGGTGAATGGAATCGAAACAAGTTCGATGATCTTCTTTGGAGATGCGGGGAGCGGAGCATCCACGTGATTGGCTACATATATACTATGTATACTATACTGTCCAGATCAACTATAAATACCATAGTATACATAAATCATATTATCGATTAGTAGAAAGTAGTAGTTAGTAAACTAGTATACATGTCCTCATAGTAAAGTCTGCTGCAATCAGACCAACTCCTCATTGCCAAACTTGCGCGCATACAATCCCAACGCCCGGATCGGCCAGTACAGCTTGTAGTTGGGATACGAAATCATGCTGTCACTCATTAGTACTAAGCTCTCTCGAGTTACGATCAGGTATACTCACCAAGATTGGTTAAACACTCCCTCAATCGACTCCTGCAACCACTCTCCATTGGCCTGCTGCCGCGACATCAGCAGCTGCATTGCCTTTCGCAGCGGCTCCTTATGCGGATACCCGGCCTCCATCAGCGCCAGACTGGCCCACGCCGTCTGCACGACCTGCGACTTCTCGTGCTGCACATACACGTGCTTCTCGCTGCTGAGGTACGACTCGCCCCAGCCGCCGTCCTCCTTCTGCTTCGAGATGAGGAACTCGCATCCGCGTCGGGAGTCTGCGCTCGTCTCGTATGTCTCTCCGATGCTGGCCAGACTCTCCAGCGCAAACATCGCCGCGTACGTGAAGCAGATGCCCCACGACCCGTACCAGCTGCCGTCGGCGCGCTGCACCCGCTTGATGTACCGCACGGCCTTTTCCTTGGCGGTCTTGATCTCCGCGGCTCGGTAGTTCGGATAGTACTTGCTGAAGAGGGAGAGCGCGGTGACGGACGCGGTCGTGCACTCGGGATAGTCATATCCGATCATGATTCCGCCGAATACCTCGGCTGCGTTGAGCCACTCAACCTTCTCGGATGCTCGCGTGGTTTCATACTCGGTGAACCCACCAGTAGGGTTCTGCATCAGAAGCAGACAGTCGACGCTGTCTCTCAACCGCTCCTCCGAGATCAGCTTCGGGAAGTTGTGCATCTCCTGCAGCTGGATGGTCGAGCGCAGTCCCTCGGCGGTGCAGTCGCTGACCGTGTATCCCTGCGTCTTGTTGCTGAAGGGCCATGCACCCTTGCGGTGCTGGCGGTAGCATTTCTCCTGGTCCGGCACGTTCTCGCGCAGCTGATGGTCTTCCAGGAACTCCAGCGCTCTGGTGAGCATGGGCCGCCATTTCGGGTCATCGCCAAACCCGGCCACCACGATACTCTGCGTGATAAAGGCCGTATCCCACACCTGGACACCGTTGGTGCCGTTCATCAGCATGCCCTCGTCCTTCATCCACATGTAGTCGTGCAGCCGTTCGCGGTGGCGACGGACCGAGTAGCTGTCCGGACCGTCATGCTCGTAGCACACAATCATGTTGAACGGGTTGCTTACGGGCCCCAGACCGGCATAGTCGGTATTCTCGTCCTCCATGCGCACCAACTCCCACGTCCACTCCTCCGCGCGACGCACAATGGCAGGGAGCCGAAGGTAGGGGTTCCAGATGTTGACGAGCAAAGAGTTCAAGGTATTCAGCAGCCACGTCTTGGGGTAGTAATTGTCCGCCTTGTGGATTGAGTTGCGATGCGCCGCAAAGTCAATCGAGTCATACGGCTGAGTATACAGCTCCTGCCGCAGCTGCTTGGTGAGAGGGTCCAACGGATGCGAGAACCTCTTCGACCACAGATACGACATGGGCAAGAAGACCTGACGAATATGAATCCACCAGCGCCACGGCGCAAACGGCACCCAGTCAGGAAGTAGCCTGCTAGAATCAGCAACCCATCCACAAATCACCCACACTAGAAACGACAGAAAGAAACGTACCAAATCTCCGGCGGCACCGGATTGACACACTCCCAATCCATAACACCCAAGACAGCCAGCGAGAACTTAGCCCAATGAGGCCCATAAATAGCACCCCCAAACTGATGCAACAACCCCCTAGCCTTAACCATCCTCGGATCCTCCTCACTCACACCCACCAACCTCAACGTAACATAATTCATACAAGTGCCAAACACCGAACTATGAGCTTCAATATGCAACCCCCACCCACCATCCTCCGGATGCTGCCTAGCAAACAAGTACCGCTTAATCTCAGTAGCATACTCCGGTGGAATAGGCGTCTTAGTAACATAATACGTGATAATCAAGACAGGCAACAAGAACATGGGCCCACCATACTCGCAGGCCCAGTTCCCCGGCTCCAGCTGCAACTTGGAGAAGAACTCCAGCCCGTTCTCGGCGCATTGCAGGGGCGTCTGGGGTTTGGGGAGCTCGGGAAGTCCCGTGGGGAGACCGAGGAAATACTTATCTGCGATGGATTGAGGCCATTTCTCGTTTTCTGCGTCGGATTCCAGGTAGTGCCAGGTTTGGCGGCCGCGGTCGTCGCGGAGACGCCAGCGCGTGTAGTCGGTTTTGAGATCGCCGTTGGCGTCGGGAGTGAGATGGCCTTGGGCGGGAGTTCTCCACGGGCCGATGTGAGGTCCCGACATTGTGATGGGGTTGTTGTACACTTATTATGTATGGTATGGGGGATAGAAAGGGTGAAATGGCAAAGTTGGGATTGGTGGGGAGGGATAGTGAGAGAGGGCGGTTTATAGGATACAACCGCACTCAAGAGGAGAAAGGAAGAACAACACACTAAATCTCCCTTGCCCGGATGTTATTTGCTGCCTGCTGTTCGTGCAGTATTAGTTGTGCAGCTGAGTGTTTTGTTGGTGCAGGAAATGAGGGACATTGTCTGCTGAGTCATCAGGGGTGCCTGGCTGGCGATCAGCATAAATAGGCAGGAATACGATGTTTAATACGATTATGTCCTGCGGCATGCAGGAACGCATGGAATAACGGTCCACTCGACAGAATCATCGTAACTTTAAATCGGAGGCTATATGACCTGTTACATTAAATATTACTATCTAGTGCCTCTGCACCCCATCAATCCCAGAACATAAAGCACACACACTATCGAGAGGTATCAAGTACGCAAAACGACACGGAATCATTCTACCGATTCCCCCGGGTATCAATCCAACCTGTCCCATCCATTACCGTAAATTAAGTGATCAGTGATCCTGGCCTCATCCCGACCAGGCGTGAATTACGCCTCTTGCTTGCTTTTATTTGGCTTCCGCGGCGGGCGCCTCCTGGGCCGTCACTGCAGTTTCTGCCTTGGTCGGCTCCTCAGCCGCCGGCTGCTCTGTCTTGGCTTCCTCCTTCACCTCTTCCTTGGGAGCCTCAGCCGGTTCTGCCTTGGCCTCTTCCTTGGGGGCCTCGGTCTGCTCCTGCTTGGGCTCCTCCTTAGCCTCCTCCTTGGGGGCTTCCGGAGCAGGCTGGGCCTTCTCAAGGTTGACCGTGAACGCATCCTCCTCGAGGGTCGCGCCGTTACCACCGTAGGTCTTGGGGAACTTGTCCTTCAAGGAAGGGAACTCGCGGGCCAGGTTGGCACCGTTGGAGATGGGGTGGAACTTGCGGGTGGTGTTCTTGCTAAGGAAGACCTTCATAGCGGCGAACATCCAGCCCATAATGGCAGGCACGTTGACGAAGAACTTCTCCCGCAGCAGCTCGGGGTAAGCCATGGAGAACACCTCGATGGTCTTCCTGCTGGCCGCCTTGATCGTGGGGTTCAGGCGGAGGAAGCTGACATTCTGGTAGTCGTGGACCTGGAGCATCTGGTACGGGTCCTCGCCGTCGTAGTCGATCACGGTCGTCGCCTCGCTCAGCTTCAGGTCCTTGACAGCGAGCTCCATGAGTGCGACACGCCACTTGATGAATCTAGTGATAGTTAGATATAATCCCCATCAATCACGAAATAGTAGCAACAGCAGCCGCACTTACCCATCCACATCGCCAAAGGTCTGATCGATAGACTTGACATTACCATAGACGTTCCAAGTGACAATGACCTCCTTGCCATTGGCCTCCGGGTACTTGGTGACATAGCCCAGACCACCATAGCGCTCAGCACTGTAGTGGCCCTCGGTCAGGGCGAGGGGGTTCATCTCCTTGCGCCATTGCAGGGCCTTGGTCAGCTGCTCCTCGGCCAGCTTGACGTTACCCTCGTTGGCGCGCAGGAACTTGATGAGGATGTTGACGGTGGGGACATCCGAGGAGTTCTTGAGGGTGACACCCCACATCTCATTGTAGCCAGTGGAGGAGAGAATGGCCGACAGACGATCGAAGAACTGGCTGAGGGCCGGGTTCTTGGCCAGATACTCGGGCTGAGCGGGCTTTTGTTCCTCCTCCTTTGCTTCTTCGGCCTTGGGCTCAGCCTTGGGCTCATCCGCCTTTTGTTCCTCCTTGGGTTCCTCAGCCTTGGTCTCCTTGGCCTCTTCCTTGGGTGCTTCCTCCTTCTTATCTTCGGCGGCCTCCTGGGCGGGAGCGGGAGCGGGTTCCGTCACGGGAGGTTCCGTGGCAGCGGCAGCGGGGGCAGGAGATGCCTCTCCTTCGCCTGTCGGCTCGACCTTTTGTTCGACTTCGGGCTGAGGCTGGGACTCGGAAACCGCAGGCTCAGTAGTGGTGGTGGTGGTGGTGGTGGGAGGTTGCGCCTCGGGGGCAGCAGGAGCGGCGGCGGCGGTCTTTTCGGGTTGATCGGCCATGATGTATGTAGTGGGATGGTATTATTGGTAGTAGATGATTAATGAAGATAGAATAGAGAGAGGGCGGAGGAAATAAAATTAAAAGAATGTATGGGAATTGCGTGATGCGATCGGATGCGAAAGTGGGATGGGCTTTTTCCAATGACAGCCGTGAAATTAGCACAGTAGTAGGGGAGAAAGAAAGAAAGAGAGAAAGAGAGAGAGGAAGAGGAGGAGAAGAGGAGAAAACACGAGAGAGAAACAAGAAAGACAGAAAGCGCAAAAGAAACGAAGCGAAGCGACAGCAGCAGGCAAAGACGAGAAGCTAAGAAAGCACAGAAAAAAGGGCGTGCAATCCAATCAGAGGCAGCAGTGGATTAATTAATTAATTGCTGCAGCGGCCGTTAATTTCATTTAGGAGGTTTCCAACGGCGATCAGACAAGACAACTAGTCTAAGTATTATTATTATTATCTATCGATTCAGACCAAGATCCAAAGAAGTTTAGAATTCAAACAAACAAACAAACATGGGATCTATCATTATCCTCCCATGGTTGACAATCTCATACATGATGACTCTTTTACTACTAAGTCCATAGATAGACAACAACAAACCTTATAACTTTATTCAACATCTGATCTACTGAGTTGGGGGAAGTAGTAAGTGAAAGGTACATAACCAAGTGACTCAAAATAACAACCAACTAAAATAGCTAGTAGCTACGTACTAGGAACAAAATGATCCATCCCATCCTCCTGAATCTTTGAAGTGGGCCTGCAAGGATGTTTCAGGAGAGAGAGAGAGAGAAAGAGAGAGACCAGAATATGATGCCCCCCCCTGACAGGCTACAGCATGCGGTGACTGATCACACACACACACTCACCTCATCCACTCATTTCCCTCCAAAATGACATGCAAGGCACCGGGTAAGTAACTAAGTACTCGAGGGTGGTATGCCTTTCTTGATTGATACTATTATTATTCTTTCCCTTGTCTCAGGTGGTCGGTCGGATGATTTGACAGCCCAGCCCGAGGGTTTAGCGAAGAGGCGCGTGCTCTAACTCACTACTGGTCCTACTTATCACCTTTTCTCTTAATGGTATTGGTTCTTTTTCTTTGCTAAGTTGTATTCTCTCTTTTTTTTTTTTTTTTTTTTTTTTTTTTTTTTTTTTTTTTTTTTTTTTTTTTTTTGTTTTTTTTTTTTTTTTTTTTTTTTTTTTTTTTTTTTTTTTCTGTATTTTGGTTTTTGTTTTCTCGTAGTATTTGATGGTTGCTATTTTTGAATGCGAAGGATGACGACTCAGTCCCCCCCCCCCTGGCCTACTAGCAGGTCAGACAACAACAAGAAGTCTGGAACTCTCCCTGCTTCGGGTGGATTGTTTCGGTTCCCTGACACTTACCTAGCTCATTTTACTACGGAGTACTTAGTATCTACGTATCTAGTTTGAAAACAAGACGTGTCAATAATTCATAACTCTCCTCCCCCCGGTTCATTTTATTTTATCTCTCTCGTCTATCAATCAATCAATCAACCCATCAATCGCTATGAGTCTCAAAGAGCCGACAAATCCCACATCAGCTTGCAGGAGAAGAAAGAAATTAGTAGAAAAGCAAAATACTTCCCATAGATACATACAAGTCCGTCCCATCATGACCAAACAACAACGCTGGGGAATATACAGAGTCCGTTTAATGCAGCAAGAATCAGCTAGTCCCTCCTTCCATCCATTTTCCTGTTCCCTCTTCCCGTCGTAAATCCTTCTCGGGTAGGGTGATTTAGTCTCTTTCTGTCCGTCCATTCTTTCACCCTCACTTTCCTCCATTAAGAAATCGCTCCGGAATCCTAGGCATCGGGGGCGGCACTGTGGCACTCGAGCTGTCCCCCTCGTCTTCATCTTCGTCCATTTCGTCCTCGAGCTCTTCCGGGTGACTACAAAACAAATCCCGTCAGTATACCAGACACCATGACAAATCCCACAGCCCCATTCTGGAAAACGAGGGGCAACTTACGCAAGGAGTTCCTTAATGTTCCGCATCTCATAGTGCTTCTTCCGATGCTGCTCGAACTGGCGATGCTTTTCCTCGGCTTCGCCCGCCGTCATCAACGTATCTCCACCAGACTCCGTCTCGCCATTCAGCTCGCCAGCCCCGACCACAACGTGCTTCCCGCCCCGATGTGAGTCATTGCTCAGGCTTCGTTCGCGCACGATCCGATCCGCATCTCCCATGTGCGCATCACCGCCATACTCCTCAGCCTCTCCCAGCTCCAACTCCGGAATATCATCCTCTGCGATCGCCTTCTTGTGCGCCTTCTTCGTCTTGTCCAGTTCGTCCACCACCACCTCTTGCGCATCAATCAGACTTTCCTCACCCGCCAGCTCGTCTTCATCCTCGGCGGGGTCATAGCGCGGCGCATAGGGAGTCTTCGGTTCATCGATCTTCATCTTGGCCGTCTTCTCCTGCTCAGTCAGATACAGGTTGGCTTCGTCCCACTTCAGGCGAGGTGAAGACTCGTCGTGATGCCCGTGGATGCTGGCAAGAGACTGTCGTCGCGACGAAGACCCGGGGCGAGTGTTGGATGACGACCGACGTCGACCGGCATTCTGGAGGGTGTTCTGAAGAGTGATTTCCTTGGTGTCCGTAGAGTCGGCCGAGGTCGAAGGGATCGTCAGAGTGGCGTGAGCATGCTGCGCGACCTGCGGAACTTGAGAGCTGGAGTTCTTCAAGATACCTGCTGTCCGATTAGCGACCAGACGTAGAACGGGGATGATCGCAACAGGCTTGTTTACCCTTGGGTCGCTTGTGTGCATCCTCCATATGGTGAGACATGATCGCCAAGCGCACCGAAATCAAGTCGTGTAGTCGAGATGTATAGATGAAAGAAGATAGAAAATTGGTAAAGTAAACAGCAGCGACCGCTGTAGAAGGAAAATAAAGTATTAGAAAATTGAAGAGGGGAAAAGCGGAAAGGAAGGGAAAAAAAGCAAGATAAGAAAGCGGATCAGATGCGCAATAAATGCGACCCGAAAGAAATTAGATGAGCCAGGGAAAGGGAAAATTCAGTGAGAGTCAGCTGCAAGTGCCCGAAGGAAAAGGCAGTATCTGAGGCTGAGCTGGCGACGAGACACACAAGAAGGAGGCCTGGATGAGGCGGGGGTGGGATTCCTCAGCCTCTGGCGATGAGCCCGACAAATGAGGGCGGTGGCACGGTTGCTGATGATGAATCACGTTCGCGCGGTCCAGCTGGATCTGATGATTACCTGGTGGCTCGATTCACTTTCTCTTTTTGTCTTTGCTTAGCAAGAACAGGGTGGGTAAGAAAGGGGAAAAGGAGAAGGAGGAAAAAGGGGTCAGAGAGTAAGGCGACCAGGAGATGGATGGTTCAGTTGGGTTGACAGTTCTTGTAACAGAAACACAGAAAGAGACAGAAGGAGCAGAAGAAGTAAATGCAAACAGACAGACAGACAGCCAGCCGTGACCTGGCACGTGGGGCTGCCCGTCGATGACGTCGCAAGCATCCGAGGGGATCTGTTTTGCTACTTTCCCTTCTTCACCATTCAAACTGTCAGAGATCGTCTGTCGACTCCCGACCCACTACGTGGTTGCTACCTGACTACCTGACCCCATCAACGTTGCATAAAGCTGCTTGTATTCTGAACCCTGGTGGACCGGGTTTCCCTGCGTCCCTCCAGTTGCGGTCCGAGATGCTAACGAACTACAAAGCGTTTCTACACTCCCGTCCTTGCCCCGGTATGCGATAGAACTCCAAGAGCCCGATTCCTTCGTCCCCCGTAAAGATGCGACGACTCACCAGCAAGATAAAAAACCCAAAGAAACAAAATGGTAGACAAACAAGTGATCGAATAGCAGAATGCCGCCCCAAGCACAAAAAAGAGGTGTAAGTGTATAGGGGAATCTCATGACCCTGCCCAGCTCCGTGAAAGACGAAGGACATCCCGCAGAAGAGTAGCATAGCAAAATACAACAGCCAAGGGGAAACCGGGGAGAACACCGTCCATCCAGATCTGTCAAACAGGATATCAATAGATCTGCGCGTCTGCACCAGGATTAGTTGCGTAAGTAGACCCGCGCCGGATGCCAAAATCGGCAGGTCGTGAATGGTATCAATGTCATAGAAAGAGGTGAGAAGGAAAAAAAGATATAAATCCTAAAGATGATCACAAGCACATGCTCGCAAGCAATAAAAGAAAGAAACGAATCGAAAGTAAGGAAAGTACTGAGTAAGGGTAGAACTGCACGAAAAGGGAAAAAAGACTTATGCAATAGACTCGAACTCCTCCCGCTCCCGAAGTCGGTTGCGCGCAAGTTCGTCCCCGCCATTGGCTGACAGCTGCATCCAGTGCAGTGCCAGGCACATGCTCTGCGGGTCGGACTTGGAATCCTTATCGCGGCGGTACATCATTTCAGCCTTGAATGTGTCTCGCAGCAGAGTGAGTGGTAGGGTTACCCGCGGGAGGAGTTCGGGGTGGGTAAGGTAAAGAATGGCCAGTTCCCGCTGGGCGACTGGATTGCCTTCCTTGGCAGTAATGATCCACATGCCCGCAGCATCCTCGAGGGCGTGCCCGGGCCGGGGTGTATGATCGTAACCAGGCGGATGGCGCCGACTGAATTCTTGAGATACAATGTTGTCGGCAATTTCGACCATGCTATTGCAGATCTCGTCCTTGAGGCTCAGCGCCGCCAAGCCAAATTGTAGAAATGCAGTCCCGCTGTCAGTCTTGTTCAACGTCTCCGAAGGAACAAAGGCTGAGATGAACTGCAAGTCACGGAAAAGGGTCTTCGGCTTCACTTCAAGGAGGAGGCTGCGAAGAGCATCAACAATTTGATTCTCAGTGGGTGCACCATAATCGGAGGGTCGGGAGTCGAAAATGACAGACTCGGCCGCAGGGGTCGTCGGTGTATGAGAGGACTCCTGGGCATGAGTCCGTTTGGCATCAGACTCGGAGAAGCTATGACGGGCGCTTCTCTTATTCTGGAACCCGGGAGTACGACCTCGCGGGCAGGCGGGCGGCTCAGTTGCACTGAAAGGGCTTGCATCATCGTTATCGGAGTTCAAAGATGCAACAACAAGCGCCCGCAGATCCCGCAACGCCTTCAGCTTGATAAATGGGTTCCCATGTCGCGAGAAGACTTCTATGAGGCGTCGGAAGACAGTCCCGTACGAGAAGCGCTGTGTTTCGTCTGATTGCATAGAGTTGTCAGCGGCAGATGCAGACGGTGTCCCGGCATCCCCGGTTGTTGATCGATCTGCAGACTCCAGCGATCTGCTCCTCCGACGGTCCGACGGTGTGCGTTGGAGAGAATGATGAACGAATCGCTCATCACACTCGGTGTAAAATTGTTGGATGCGCGCGCGTTTCTTCATCTGCGTTCGGATTCTCTTCTGTTCCAGTGCGTTTCCGAACCAAGCGTCTGTCTCACTTCCACAGCTCCACACCGGGGAGCCCAAGTCACTCAAGAGCAAGCTCGTCAGGGTCTGTTTCAGGCCGTCCAAGAAAGCTCCTTTGCTGTGCGTCTTGCGATCATTGCGACGTGATGACTGGACACCGTTATCGCTGAACATAGAGGGGGGTCGGGAATATAGGCTGGAAGCACTTGGTGCATAGTGTGCGGGTTGTGGTGTTGACCAGAATGTGCTAAACGAATCGCCGGTAGTAGTTGAGGCAGCCCTTCCTGGGGATCCGCCGATCGAAGAGGCGTCTGTGATCGAGGGCTCCCGAGGGATTTTCCACTTATCGGACATCAGACTCTGGAAAGAGGACTTGGAGCTCAGCGGAGGTAGGTCTTGCGTAAACCTTGAAGTGTCTGATGGACGAGTAGTAGTCCCGTGGACTGGCGAGGCATGTGGCGTGTCTTCATTAGAGATATTGAACGGTCGCATGCTCGAGGAGAGGCTTAGAAAGCTTCGGTTACTGGAGCCCTCGTACATGGCCCGCTCTTTGTGGTACAATTCGCTGGACCACAGCACCGGGGTTTCGGCCATGGTCTCGCCAACGAGTCGATTGATGCTTGTCTTTACCTCGTAGCAGAACCGGTGGATTCGCTCCTCACCTTTGCAGAAATTGTCGATGTTATTGTGAGAGAGCCATTTGCGAATCAAGTCCACCTGCTCGTCCGACAGCTTGTTGGGACCGCCTTGACTGCTCGGTGCCTTCATGATATTCATGACTTGCAACTCTGGTTTCTGAAGAAGGGAGTTTCCAAAGGGTCTCATGCTGCTGCGAGACCGGCCATCGCTAGGTGCTTGTCTGTAGAGGCGAGCAGAGTAGATCATAGTCTTCAATGCCAGTGCGACATGTTTGGCATCTTCGTACCTCATCGAGTGCTTTACGTCAGTCATGTACCACATCTTGTCTCGAAGTTTAGCCACAGTGGCCATCAAGTCCTTAACGGATCTCTGCACCCGTTGCACATGCCTATTGAGGGCAACGAGATCAGTTTCACACCGTTCAATAATCGTCCGTGAGGTAGCGAGTGAGCGGACACACGATGCGTGCATGGGCTCGAGGATCCACGAGTCGTCGACGCGTCGAGAGGGAGAGTTTGCAACGCTGCGGACAAGCTGTCGGCCAGCATTCCACCAGTAGTGGGCCCCGATGAAATCGGAGTCATGATGGCAGTGTGCCATGGCCCTATCGAACTTTTGCTTTAGGGATACATGGGCTTCTTGGGATACGCCATAGGCATCTATGAAACCATACTCTGCAGCATCATCGGCAGGGTTATCTTGAATCAGTTTCACAATGGCTGTTTGGAGAGCTTCAGAGTTGTCTTCCATTCCCAAGGTGGTAGACTGAACGTCGTCCACAGAATCGTGCTCCGGAAAACTGAACGGGCCATTCTCGGGGAAAAGACCCCAGGTCAAGCATCTTCCATTTCGGCTCATGGAGAAGATGGTCCATTCTTCAGCTGCAGGTGGTTCCAGAGTTGCACGACCATCGGGCTCGCTCAGATCTGACAACTCGAAGCGGATCCTGTCAGCATTGCGGCTCATGCAATTCTCCGGTAGCGATAAAAAGGCCATGTTAGAAGCAAATAATCTCTGGTCCTGGAGGGCGTGAATGGACATGTTATCGGAAGGAGGCCGGAAGAATCCTGGCTCAATGATAGACGCTATAGAGCGATCTGACCGAGCGGCCAAAGAACCAGCAGGGGAGGAAGGCATCCCGGAAGACGAGAGCGGGGAATTGCATGTAGAAGCGGTTGTCCTAGGGAATAGAGCATTCAGCAGGGTTAAGATGTCAGCAGCGGAGAGCATCAAGAATGCAGCAGGCGATTCCCGGCTGCTGATAGCTGTCGCGCGGGAAGAGGGTTGTATTCCGATGACGTTCCTGCGAGGGTCGGCATGGTCGAACCGGCAAAGCATGCTCTCAACGTGCCTTCTCACCGCGGGACGAGCCATAGAATAGTGGTTCCTACAGGGTGGGTTAGCGAAGGCTCTAAATAAGGGCTTCACGTAGCGACCGGATGAAGGGACAACGGACATGGAATGAAGGACGGCAAAGACTTGCGAGTAGGCACGGAGTCCGACCTGTCCGAGGAGCTTCTCTCTAGCATCTTTTCTGATATGGAAGTCAAGCAAGAGACCGTGGGCCTGGACATTGTGTTAGATTAGGAGCTTTAAAACATCTGGCTGAGCCTTCTCATACCTCGGGGTAGGTCAGTGCGCTATAGAGGAATTTTGCAAAGAACCACTGGACAAACAAGAACTCAAGGAAACGGTCACGACCGTCCTGACGTTCGAGTTTCTGCAAAATAGCACTGCTCAATTGCATCACCGCATGCGGAAGCCCTCCATCTGGGTCATCCAAAAGCTGGAATAATGCATCTACTGCAGAAGCAAAAAATTCCTCGGCCACATCGGTCTTCAAAGGGTCGGGAGGCTCTGTACCAAAACTCATGCCAGGGGGAGTTTCTACATGTTCCAGGAGAAATGCGCCGGTTTGCAGGATATCCATGAGATAAAGCTCAAATTTGGGCTTC